GGGGGGGGGGCAAAAGAGTTACGTCAAAGTGCATTCTAGAATAACGGTACCACAGGTGGTTCTTCCTCCTAATCCTTGCCAATTGGCAGGACATTTAACTTAGCCAATTAAAAGCCTTTTATACTTAGCCTCTCTCTACTGAACTCCACCCGTCGCCGTCACACACGGCTAAACAATCCTTCCCCCACCCCACCCCGCCTCCTCCTCCGCTCGGAGGAGATGGGGGAGTATATGGTATGTTGTTCATGTCGTACAACACAGTTTTCATTTCTTGCAGATTCCAGATACCAAAGAGAAAATATTGGACTCAAAGGAAGAAGACCGTCACGGTTTCTTAGGAAACAATGGTCAAAGGAAACATTGTTCGGGACAATTGACGAGGGAATTAATGACAGTTTAGCTGACTTGAATGAATCTCTTTCTGTAATCAGAGTTAGGCCTTCTTATGTGTAACAACCACCTCAATTTTATGTGTTTACGTACAGAGCTATAAAAACTGTAAAAAATTCGAATAAAACCATCTTGATTGGAGGAGCCTGTCGTATTAATGACTCCTAAATGAATCTTAGAAAAAACTGTCCTATAAAATGCACGAAAGCTAGTGTACTGACGGTGTTGTTTTCCTAAGTATCCATCTTAAGTGCCCTTAAGTAAGAGACGGTCTGAAACAAATGAAAGCGAGAAAGTGCGAGAAAGCGGAGACTACAAAGTCCCTTCTTGAAAGACATGGAGCCCTCGTTTCTAGGTAGGTCATTCTATTTTAATTCATTCTCTCTTGATTTACCCCAATTCAAGTCATGGGAATCATGTCATGTCTGTTCTGTTAAAAATCATGCATTTACGCACACGTGATTAGTATAGAGTGGTCTGAAATGGTAACTAAAAATAGACACACCTAGTTTAAAGATGCGTGTATGTGTTTGAAATAGAAAAAAATATAATTCAAATGTCAAAATGACGTCTTTGTTATGACTACTTGACAGAATAAGAAAAACTCCAGCAAAAGTGCATAAAAATTATATGTAAAAAATCTTTCATTAAACCGGATAAATATAATAAAAATAGGCCATTCAGAGTTCCCCCGGGCCTCTGCATCTAAACGAGGTTAAGTGCTCGGCCTTTGATATGGAAATGATTTTTCATTGTCAATCAAATAAGACTCATTTGCACAAGAAAGATTGTGCACTTAGCCTCGTTTTGAAAGTGAGGGTATTTGGAACTCGGAAGTGGCCTATTAACATTTGCCACTTTAGATACAAGAAGGAGACTGGGTCGAGTTAACTTTCGCAAAGACTTCTGGGACTGTTACTGAGGACAGGAAAAATGGAAAAATGGGTCAGTATCGATCCCACAAGTCTTTGCGAAAGTTAACTTGGCCCAGTTTCTTTCAAGTTTCTAAAGTGGCGAATGGGCAGGAATTTTCACTGCTGAAAGTAAACCAGACCTCGTATCTCTGACCGTGATAACTTAGACCCGGTAGGGGGGGGGGAATCCAGGATTTTTCTTAGGGGGGGGGGTACTCCACTCAGCTATGCGTAGCTGATTGGTGACGGAAACAAATTATAAAAGCGAATACGAAGACGAGGGCTTTTAGGCAAGAACATAATGTGAACTGCTGAGAAT